CTACAGTCTTGTTTTGATAAAAGGTATGTGGGCTAGTCAAGGCAAGTATCCCATTTGGCTTTACAAGTACAGTACCTAAACATGTATATGGTACTAAGGTGGCATTTGTGAAACTTTACAGTTGAAGTCATATTATCTGTTCTTATACTTTTAATATTTGCTCATAATTCTGTTATAATACTGAAAAATATTCTTAAGTATTTATTTTATTTGTGTGGGTGCATGTTTGTGTGGGTGCATACACACACATGTGGAGGTCAGAGGTCAATATTGAGTATATCCCCCTTCCCCCCAACAGGGTGTCTCTTTCCTTTTTTATTTAAAGAATTCTTCAATATTTTACTTATTTATTTTGTGTGTTATTGTGTGGAGGTTTGCATGAATGCTGCAGCACAAGTGTGGATGTCAAAGGACAACTGTAGACATCATTTGTTTCCTTCCTTCATGCAGGCCTAAGGACGGAACTCAACTTATCAGGCTTGACTGAAGATACCCTGCCACAACGTGTCAGCTCGCATGCCCCTGATAAGGTGCCCAGCAGATCTCTGAGATCCTCCTGTCTCCATATCTCCAGCTACATGTTTACAAGTACAAGTCACTGCACCCAGCTTTTCCTTGGGTATTGGGAATCCGAAGTCAAATCCTCAACTTGCATGCTAAGCACTTTACTGAGCCATCTGCTCAGATTCTGAGGGAGGACATCCTTTAAGAAGAAGGCAGTACAAAGCTCTTAAAGACAAGTCTCTCTTTCTTCCTTGTATGTATGTGATAGTCTCATGTAATTTACATGTGCCGATGCATCCCACTGATCATGTTCTGATTGCTTAAAAACTTTACATTTCCACTGTCTAAAGAATTTCATGTTAATACATTAATCTCTGATTCCAGCTGCTTATAATGTGGCACTAACTTACTTTTCAGAGTTTCTCCATATTTTTATGCTTTTTATATCCCTTCTGGTTTCTATACTACATTGTTTGCTGTTGTGAAAAAGGCTTTGCTGTTTCTTGTTTCCATGCTTTTCTTTATGACATTTCATTTACTGCAGCCACGACCCTCACCTCCAACTTCCACTGGCACAACACCTACTCATTTGTCAATATTTTTCTTCTATGATTATTTTTCTGATATATCTAAGAAGCCGTACTATCTTCTTCCTCTAAATTCACGTGGTATACTATTTTAAAGATTTATTTATTTATTTTAAGAATATGAGTTCTCTATCTGCATGTACAACTTTAGGGCAGAAGAGGGCATTAGATCCCACTATAGATGGTTGTGAGCCACCGTGTGGTTTCTGGGAATTGAATGCAGGACCGCTGGAGGGCAGTCAATGTTCTAAGCGCTGCGCCATCTCTCCATCCCCCAGATAGTATGTTATTAATACCTCTTGTTTAATACCTAATCCTTTTTGCATTATTCTGTAGTCTTTCTGTGCTTTTTATCTTTCATAGAAGATACAAGGGTTTTATAACTAAGGGAATCTTATCTTAATTATTTCTGCATCTCCCATCATGTCTGGCACAGTACTTTTCATGGAACAGATGTACAACAAATTAATGAATATTTAGGGCTCATTTCCTAACCTGAGTTTAAATCAGCAAAGCCTACAATATGGGTTACTATTCAGGCAGTAGGAATCAGTACAATCCAAGTAGTTATCTGTTGCCTTTGTGTATTCTGACTTGTTGGAGCTTCCATCATACTATTTATTGATATTTTTAGTAACATTTGTGTTATGAGAATCTACCATAAAATATCCCATAGTACTTCTGCTATCAACTTGACACAGGTCAATATTATTTGACAGAGTCACAATTGGGAGAATGCCACATTGTCAAATTGGTCTGTGATTATGTTTGTGGGATATTTCCTTAATTTCTAATTGATATGAGTGTTCAGGCCACTGCAGGAGGTGGCACACCTGGCCAGGATCCCAGTTCCTGCCTTGAGTTCCTGTTTTGGCATCCCTTGGTGATTTACTGTAACATTTAAAATAAAATAAAACTCCTCCTTCCCAAGTTGCTTTTGATCATGGTGTTTTATCACAGCAATCAGAAGCAAACTAGAACAGTGTTCCAAACAAAAATGACATACTCAGGTACACTCAGTTGACTGGACCAGAGGCAATAGTTGGGAATGCCTTCTTACTTGCCTATGATAGTCTTTGTGTGTCTCTCTGTGTGACCGATAACAGGTTCCATGGAAAAGACTGGTAATTGAAGCAAGTAATATAATTTAGCAACACTTCGATTTTCTAGTACCTCACTTGTTTAATCATGAGATTGAAAACAATTGTGCATTGAAAACGTCAGTGGGAGAGCTCTGGTTTGCATTTAGTAATTCCTTCTGTAAGGGGTGGTGATAGTGAAGATAACAAGCAGAATGGCAGAATGATACATTTTCACTGCTTCTGGTCAGTTGGCTCTATTTTGAGGCGGCTATCTTGGGGGCTGGGCTGTCTTTTCAAACTTTTCTTTCCTTAGGCAATTAGTATTCTTCATAGTTTTGCTTTTTTGCTTTTATCTTATCCTATTGACGTGGCAGTTACGCTAAAGGGCTAAGACCAGTGTAGAATGGAGGAATATTTGAGAATATCAAACAAAAGTGATAATGGAATGGAACCAAAACATGTAACTAAGAAACCTGCAGAAGTTTCTAGCTCTGCTTCCAGGAGAGATAGGAAGTTTCCTTCCTTCCTTCCTTCCTTCCTTCCTTCCTTTCTTTCTTTCTCTCTCTCTTTCTTTTCTTTTTTTTGGGGGGGGGGTGTTGTTGGCTTATGATTAATTTTCGCTCCAAAACCCCTCTAGCTTTTAACTAAGGATATCTGCTTTGGCTGTTGCTTGTAGAAATGAATACCAGAGAGCTAAATTGACTACTTTTTTTAACTTCATTTGCTTTTATGGGCAATCTAGCTATAAAACAAAGGACATCACAATTTAGATTGCTTGAAATTAATATATTTACAGTGTTAGTGAGGATATTCCTGGTGTTTCATAGTTGACAACACTGTAGTCCCTTGGGAATGAAACATCCAGAAAACCCAATGAATGCATGAATAATGTCTCATATAGGCTCTCTGGGATCAGTATGAGGTATGAGACTTTTAGCAAATGAGTAGGCTTAGAAAATACTAGAAGATAATGACACCTTTTTGATGGTCTAGAATAACATGCTTTAATTTAGAAACTTTATTAAGTTTCTTAGCAGAGAAATATATTGATTAAAAAAATTATTTCAGTTTGCTAGTGCTACTCTTAATGGATGGAAGAAACCTCTGAGAGCAGGGAGACACAGAGAAATGGAAGAACACGGTGGAAGGACTGCTTTCTATATGTCAGTAGGCATTTCTTTTAGCCTTTGGTCATATAATATGATGTATAATTTTTTTAATTTATTTATTATTTAGAGATTTCCGTCTCTTCCCCGCTACCGCCTCCCATTTCCCTCCCCATCCCCCAATCAAGTCCCCCTCCCTCGTCAGCCCAAAGAGCAATCAGGGTTCCCTGACCTGTGGGAAGTCCAAGGACCGCCCACCTCCATCCAGGTCTAGTAAGGTGAGCATCCAAACTGCCTAGGCTCCCACAAAGCCAGTATGTGCAGTAGGATCAAAAACCCATTGCCATTGTTCTTGAGTTCTCAGTAGTCCTCATTGTCCGCTATGTTCAGCGAGTCCAGTTTTATCCCGGGCTTTTTCAGACCCAGGCCAGCTGGCCTTGGTGAGTTCCCGATAGAACATCCCCATTGTCTCAGTGTGATGTATAAATTTTATTATGAACATATAAATAGATTTTTGAAAAAGGCTTTTGTCAAGTTTGACAAAACAATTAGAGGACATCTTTAATGACTTTATATACATAAAGCAGTATGACATTCCAATCAAAATACTTTTCTCCTCTCAATCAAACCTTCACTTGAAGCTATCTCTATAAGCCTTCCATGAAGTGTAAACATGGAACATTAACCATTACCCAAACAAGAACTTTTTTCAAATAGGAAAAAAAATGAATATAACTTAATAGGCTTCAGCTATTTTTCTCACTATTGCCCAAAGCTTTTATGAACAACTCAGCATTAACTACCACTCCTTCTCTCAATTTGTTGAGTTTCAGTGGCTACCAATTTCTATTCCATTTATATACAATAACTTTAAATTCAAGTACAGAATATTCTGGGGGGTGTATAGGCTAGTTTAGTCAATTATACCAATTTAATTAAGTAGCATTTCTATATTTAGTATTAATTTTTATTTTTTCATTATTTGTCCAAATAGCTTTATAGCTCACAAAGGGGAAACAAAATTAATATGCCTACCTTTCTTTTTTTTAGATCAAGACAGATATGAAGGGAATATATGAGGAATTGATCATCTTGGAGAATGTGGTCAGACAAACTAATCTGGATTATCCTGAGAAGAGTTACTATTTACCCCACCCACACTATCTGAACAGAGAAACATGAGTGTCTAGTTCCACTTGTCTTGCTTCATGTATGTATTTCCCCAATGAGACCACCTTTTATGGTATAACTTTATCTGTTGCTAATGAAATACAAAAGGAAAAAAAAACAAAAAACACCACCAACAAAAGACAATTATTCCATTACTTGGTGATTTTTGAGGATCATGGTGAGTCTTCCATTATTAACAATGATAATGGGCCATACATTATAGTGAAAACTAAAAATGAACTGTAGAAACAAGCTAATTACATTTATGTTTTTAATCATCTTCTACCCAAGCCTCATGCTCATAAAACAACAATTAAAATATTTAATATTAAACACAGTGGGATTCCTTATTTCTGAGGCTTTCAAAACACATGATTATTTTACAGTACATTTACAGGGTTAAAACTTTCAAACTTATTACACTAGGGGCGTACACAGATTCCACATATCAACTGAGATCAGCTGAGAAACTTTACTCTTCCTTTTTTGAAAGAGGGACCTGGTGTAGAACATTCACATTTACCAGACTACGGCAGCTAGAATGGTCTTACCTGGATTCCTTGGAATTCTCTTTCTGCGGTCTCTGAATGCTGCACCTGACTGTAGGGCTTCCAGAAGATTATCCATCACTCCGGTCTCATCACCCTCTGGAGGACGAGAGAAATCAGAATTAATCTTATGGCAATTAAAGTTAAACTATAGGAAAATAAAGGGGAAAAACTCCTGTCAGATTTACATAATCCCCTTAAATTAAAGACATATATCTGTTTTAACATAATGGGTCCTGTCAATTTCTGGCATCATAGACTACTTTGCTTATTACGCACCATTAAGCAAAATTCATGCCAATCCTACTGTTCTTTCAACTTAAAGACCTCGTCTTTTGTATTATTGATGACACACTCAGTATGCAAATAAATAGTAGCTGATCAGCTACTGCAGCCTTCCTGTTAAGATTCTTCTAAGATATTCCTAAGCAAGAACCACTGACCTGGCTTAATGCAATCAATGTTCAGGGCGTGATTTGATGAAGCGGAGGTACACAAGGTTAAATACTGATTGTATTAATACCTTCAGCATTCAACCATCATCTACAATTATCTCAAAAGGCACTATTTGCAAAACACATTTGCATTCAATTCTTACCCAGTCCATATCCTTTACTCGTTTTGAAATGCTGACATTCTATAAAGAAAAGGTGACCACATCATCTGAAAGGCCACATTTTATATTGAGAAACATCAGCCAAAAAGTCTCATTTGCTTTTTAGAATGCTGGTGTGTTCCTCAAGGCTTTTCTTCTGGGAAAGAGCTATTAGAAATGAGGATGGAGAGTACTCAAAGGATGCTCATGGAATTCTGATGTGGGAGTGTCATATATCAATCTGTTGATTTCATTGGTTAAGCAATAAAAAAAACCGCTTGGCCCTCACAGGTTAAAACATAGGTGGGAGGAGTAAACAGAACGGAAGGTTGAGAGAAAGAAACTGAGTCAGAGAGTCGCCATGATTCTCCCTCTCCAGGCAGACACAGGTTAAGATCATTCCTGGTAAGCCAGCTCGTGAGCTACACGGATATTAGAAATGGGCTAGTCCAGGTGCGAGAGCTAGCCTAGAAAAGGCTAGATGTAATGGGCCAAGCGGTGTTTAAAAGAATACCGTTTCCGTGTAATTATTTCGGGTAAAGCTAGCTGTGCAGGCGGCCGGGTGCCGGGGACGCAGCCCACCGCTCCTATTACAACAGAATTCCATAACAGAAATATTTATGACATTACACTTTACTCTTACCTTTGACAACTGTGGCCATCAAGCACAGGCTGATATCCATAACAGTATTCATAATAGATATCCATAACGATATTTATAATAAAGTGTCAGTTGACAGGAATGTTACAGGGACCTAAACTTTCTATGTAAAATTGCCTAACTCTTGGAAAGAACCCTCACTAGGTGGACCCTTTGAGCTAGCTGTATGGGTCTGGAATATGGGACATTTGTAGGTAGGAAGGATAAGACAAGAATGGATAGTGAGTGAGAAAATATCTCCCATTCCAGTCTAAGGTTAAACCAAAATCCTACTGTGCCTCAAGTAGGCAGAATTATATTACAGGAAAATTTCTCTAATAGGATAAGAACAAGCTAGAAGCACTACGCTCTTCATTTGAGTGGAAATTTCTTCAATGTTATAATTATTTATCCTTTTAAAATAAGCTACCTAGGACAGGATATTGAGTAAAAATGGAAAGGAGACACAGAGGTTCTCAAAAGCAGTATCTGATGAAAATGTAGTGGAAGGAGTATTCCCTGTGATTAGAGAAAGAGGGCTGTGTTTTTAAACATTAAGATCGATGAAATATTTGGATCATCACTCAATATTGCCAAAAGAAAGAAAAGAGGAACAAAGTAGTTAAATAGCTCAATATGGATGAAATGTGACTAGGATAATAAATTAAGTATTAGATGCTTTAAATTCCTTATGCCTTTTCAGATGGGAATAAGAAAACTAAGACATCGCACAGATGGTATATAAAGGAACCTAAATATGAACCCAAATCATTCATATTAAAGATAATATATTTAAAATAATGATATACTTGATATACTTTTTATCAGGCCAAGACTTAGAAATCTAGTGAATATTTCCTTTTGTACACTTTAATTTGATTAGCTGGAATTCAAGCACATGTGATCTGTGGCCACTATATTGGGCAGTATGAATAAAGGCAATAGGAATCCATGTTACATGATCAAGCTTGTGTTTTCTAGAGGCTTGTCAAATCGCATCATTGCACAAAAGGAGGCAGAAAAATGTCTAAGAACATACCCCATTTATCTAAGTAACAAAAAACAGGAGAAGAAGGAATGGAGAGGCCATGTATTTGGAAATTATCAATAGAATCACTAAGACTTCACTGGGGAAAGAGAAAGTTAAGCAGGAAAGGAGTCTGGATAATCAGGAATAAATAGGTTTAACATAATCTGAGGACCTATGTGAAGAGCTCCAAGAATGTTCCCCACTCTGTGTATGTGGAAGGGTGAGTGTGTGGATGCCACAGCATACATATGCAAGCCAGAACAGGACCTTAAGTGTCAGGCTTCACTTTACAACTTATTGCAGACAAATTCTCTTTGTTGTTGTGCATGTTTCCCTTGACCCTATTTGACAAGAGGCTTGCTGTCACTAGAGCTTTGGGGGATTTGCCTACCATCTTCGCTTCCCATCGCAGCATAGAAGTGCTAGGATTAGAGACTCTTAATTTACTGTGGAATGCTTTGATATGAGTTCTGGGTATTCAAACTCAGGTCTGCTTGCTTTCACTTTCGCAGAAAGCACTTCTATACACCCAGTGTCCTTCTTAGCCTCTGGACTGCAGCATTTAACCAGAAGTCAGGAAAAGGAGACGTATAAAGACGGAGAAGAAATCTTCACAGCTAAAGAACAACATACTCATTAGAGTACTACGCTGCGGTAAAAAGCAATGACTTCTCGAATTTTGCATGCAAATGGATGGAAATAGAAAACACTATCCTGAGTGAGGTAACCCAGACCCAAAAAAGATGAACATGGGATGTACTTACTCATAATTAGTTTCTAGCCATAAATAAAGGTCACGGAATCTATAATTGGTGATCCTAAAGAAGCTAAATAAGAAGGTGAACCCAAAGAAAAACATATAGTTATCCTCCTGGCTATGGGAAGTAGACAAAATTGCCGGGCAAAAAAATGGGATTTTGGGGGTGGGGTGGGATGGGGGTAAGGGGAGATGGGGAGAGAAAAGGGAGAAGGGGAGGATGGGGGGAACTTGGGGAAAAAGGATAATTGGGATAAAGGAAGGTTGGATAGGGGAGCACGGAAGCACAATTCTTAGTTAAGGGAGCCACCTTAGGGTTGGCAAGAGACTTGAACCTAGAGTGGCTCCCAGGAGCCCAAGGCGATGTCCCCAGTTAGTTCCTTGGGCAGCTGAGGATAGGGAACCTGAAATGACCCTATCCTATAACAATACTGACGAATATCTTGCATATCACCATAGAACCTTCATCTGGTGATGGATGGAGATAGAGACAGAGACCCACACTGGAGCACTGGACTGAGCTCCCAAGGTCCCAATGAGGAACAGAAGGGGGGAGAACATGAGCAAGGAAGTCAGGACCACGAGGGGTGCACCCACCCACTGAGACAGTGGAGCTGATCTATTGGGAGCTCACCAAGGCCAGCTGGACTGTGACTGAAAAAGCATGGGATAAAACCGGAATCTCTGAATATGGCGAACAATGAGGGCTGAAGAGAAGCCAAGGACAATGGCACGGGGTTTTGATCCTACTTCATGTTCTGGCTTTGTGGGAGCCTAGCCAGTTTGGATGTTCACCTTCCTAGACATGGACGGAGGGGGGAGGACCTTGGACTTTCCACAGGGCAGGGAACCCTGACGGCTCTTTGGACTGGAGAGGGAGGGGGAGAGGAGTGGGGGGGAGGGGAAGAAGGGTGGGAGGAGGGGGAGGGAAATGGGAGGCTGGGAGGAGGCGGAAACTTTTTTTTTCTTTTTCTCAATAAAAGAGTAAAAAAAAAAAAATGATCCCTTCACTCCAGAACAATGGCAATGGGTTTTTGATCCTACTGCACGTACTGGCTTTGTGGGAGCCTAGGCAGTTTGGATGCTCACCTTACTAGACCTGGATGGAGGTGGGTGGTCCTTGGACTTCCCACAGTGCAGGGAACCCTGATTGCTCTTTGGGCTGAAGAGGGACGGGGACTTGATTGGGGAGGGGGAGGGAAATGGGAGGCGGTGGCGGGGAAGAGACAGAAATCTTTAATAAATAAATAAATTAAAAAAAAAGAACAAATAAGAGAGAGTAATGATGCAGGTGAGCTTTGTATTCTTGTGGGAAAATGGTAATTATAAAGACTGTATAAACTTGAGGTGTAAACAAGTGAACAGAGCAGAATACAAAATGGTATCTATCTATGGCTTACATAAATTAGATGAAAACATAAAATTTTATTAATGGGTATTGTTACATTAATTTTTTTAATGGTATATTTTGATTAGACTAAAAATGTGGAATATAAACACAAAGATGGCAAAAATAAATCCTTTTGTTTAATTTAGCTATATGCTACCTGACAACATTTATTGAAATACTACGTTATGGCATGTTTCTAATCTATTTCTCATAATAATTTCCTTCCTTTCTTGTGGGACATTTTAACACATATTTTCTCCAGTGTTCACCCCTCTTAAAATGCAAAGTCATGGAATGACTGCTTATCTATTCATGTTATGCGATGTTTATCTATGCCACAAACCACTGTACTATCAAAGATTTTTCTCTAACTACCAGGAACTCATCTCCTGTGGTGATACTGCTTTTGTTAAGAATATATATATATATATATATATATATATATCACATTGAGTTTCTAAACCAGCAACCGAAACAGCAAGAACAGTTCTTTACAGACATCTTTTGCTTATCAAAGGGAAGAAATGTAGTCCATTACAGTTTCATTCGCTCCGTGCTAACTTTAAACGTGATTTTCATAAAATGTCTAACCTTAACAGAACAGATCTAAATTTTGCAAATATAATCATAGGACCAATTTACATTGCTTCCTCAAACAAAATGGAAACTAATATGGTCACTTGAAAG